ACAATCGATCATCACATACATACCACAAGTAATAAATGGTAAACTGCAGTAAAGGTAAAAATAAGACAATGATAAAAAGCCAGCGGAATGCTACATTTCATTTCATATAATCAGTTGATAACAAGTCCTTCACAAACAAATCTTTATACAAGTTATTATTATTGCAAACAGAAAACAAAAAAAAAATCTTAATGATAACAAGTCCTTCACAAACAAATCTTTATACAAATTATTATTGCAAACAGAAAACACAAAAAAATCTTAGATGTAGGAATCCTCGTTGTTGGATCAGGCATTGGACGAACCACTAGCCGCCTTGTGCTCCCCTCAGACTCATCTCTTCTTCTGGTTTTTGTTACTAAGGCTGAGAAAAGCTAGGTGAATTCTTTTAAGTTGGAGTACTTCAGATTGAACAAAGCAACCCACATAAACTGATCGATCACCAGCTTCATGTCTGACTGAAAGTGCCTGACATGGTCATCATAAAGCTCCTTAACAGTCTTCATTGTGGCTAACTTTTTTGATGGAGGTATGTTCTCCTCCGAAATTATAGAGAGCCAATTCGACACAACTTCTAGCTTTACCTCGACTTCAACCAACCGAGCCTCTGGCATGTTCCTCAGCCACCTTCACCAAGGCCTTGGCAGTTTGACATTTTTCTCTGCCTTGTAAGTTGCCTCTTTGGCATCAAGGTAGATGGAAGTTAAATGGTGCATGACCATAACTCCTAATAATTGGTACCAATCAACTATTCGACTGATGTTGTAAGAGTTGTGGTCATTCAAATTTTTCTCAAAGCAAACCCGTCAGTGCTTGAAACACTGAGGAACTAGTCCCACATTATTTTTCTTAAAGAAAATTGAGAGTCCATGGTCACAAAGACCTTCAACTGCTATTTTTGCATTTTTCTTTAGCCTCTCTATACCCCTTTTCATCTTTTTCTTATTGAAGGGGGGAGGTTTAGCATCCAAATTAGACACCGAAGCCCTGCCCTTCCTTCAATGGACTTCTTTAGAGGTAGTAGGCTCAGCCTTTGAGTTAGACTTTGCCCAAATCTATTCCCTTCAAAGAGGTTCCCCCTTAGCAGTTGGTGTGGGCTCTGGCTCAGATTAAATGGAAACCTTAGGGGAGGGTTGCCTATCCTCCTCTCTTGCAACAGTGTCGATAAAGCCAGTGGTAGTCGCCTATCACAGAGTCATTGGCTCCTGATCTATCTATTCATCCGAGGGTTCCTCAACATCAGACCTCATATTACTTGGTGTTTGTCACTCTTTTGGTCCTGTGCCTTGAAAGATCCTAAAACCATCAAAGAAGGCTTTTGCTTGATAAAAATAAAATCCCCAGTGGACATCCTTTGAATTACAATGATAGTTTAAGAAACAAAATGAATATTATCTAAACTTGGGATCACAACATCGATGTTGATGGACGCATCCTCCCTCACTTCCTCAACAACTTTCTGTCAAACTGCCTTTTTGTATGGCTTCTTTTGAGAGGGCTCAGAGGCCCTCTCAATCCATCGCTCCCCCTCTACAGTGTCTGATGCTGTGCACAGCTCCACGATCATGGACTTAAACTTGTTTGGATTCAGAACTTTATTCTCCACCATTCTGGTGGTTATTTGAATGAAAGATGACTTCATTCCTTCAATCGCCAAGGCTAAGCTATGAATCCGTGGAGGCAAGAATTTCTTCTTCTTGTAGACCCGACCAATCTGACGGCTCTGGATCTCACAGTCTTTTGTCTACCCAAGAATGAAATGATATTTTCTATCTTTGTTCTTATTCTCATGCCCAACTAGGTGGAACTTTTGGGTTGACCAAAATACTATGTAAGCATATGACTCCACATGGAACTAGAACATGTAAGAAAGTAAAACCTTTGACAAAAGGATATCCTTTCGTTGGCAGTAGATCATGTATGCCATGATGGCCGAAATCGAGTTGGGCTTTATTTGGGCAGGAATCACCCCGTAGTGATTCATAATGATCGTAAAATCCTTTCATAATCACAACAGGAGACTACAGTGAAATTGATCATGATAAGAGATTAGATCCCTTATGAACTAGTCAATCCCTCGATTGATTGGACCAACGACATCATGATGGGTCTCATTATCTAAGATGTAGACGTTCTCGAGCAAAGAAACATCATCTGAAGTCATGGTGGACCGCTCGATCGCAGGGATCAACTCCAAGAACTTGGGTGAGTATTGCCTAGCCATCCAAAAAAAAGCGAGAAGAGCAAACAAAAAAAAGTTGACTAAAGGGGAGAGAGTAATGAGACCAAAAGTGCAGAAAATTCCAACCCTTATAAGATACTAGAGGAAACTGAAGCATCGCGGAAAAGCCGTACCTCGATTTTAAAAATTTGAGTCACATTAACGTAAAATCCAAGAGAAATAATTATAGAAACAAAATATTTTTAAAAATTAATAAAATTAATTTTATGTATATAAGAAATATTTTACGAATGTTTTTTAGGCTGCTTCAGTAGAGAAAAGCATTAAAGTAATTTTCAGTGCAACACACGCCCCTTAAACTTAAACCTACCAACACTATCAACTTTGACTTGGACATGTATAATCGAGCAGGTTTCCTGAAAGTCAACCAACTCCATCTGAAGAGCTGCTAGCTCTGTTGAGTGTCCTTGCTTGATAGCCACTAGTTCTTCTCAGGGCTTCTTCATTTTTTCCTCCTATTGTAGACCAGCCGCCTGGGCAAAGCAATCCTCCATCTCCTCCCAATGGCGGGTGAATGATGCTGAAGACCTTTGTTGGTCATCGGTACCCCTCTCGACGCCTTCTTAGAGATCTACTAGGATGTCGACCACCTTCCTCTTGCTTTGCACCTGGGCTGGAGTTCTCTCGACCACTCATGAAGCGATGAAGCGAAAACTCAGTCAATGCTTGATAATGGTGAATTAACTTCTAGGACCACATCGTATGCACCAAAAATGAATGTTAGCAACATGAAAGTAATTTCTCTAGTTGTAGAAGATTGTATCTCAACATACCTAGGACTCGATTCATCTTAGACCACTAGAACGAAGGAGAAATCTCACCAAGCATCGATGACACATCCACATTCTTGCACTTGAGGCTTGGTTCCGAAATCACAACCCTTTGATCTTGTGGGACACCCACAGTCTTGCTCTCATGGCTTAGTTCTAGAACTGCATTCCCCTCGATCTCTAGGATGTGAAGCTTCAACAGCTCCTCACACAGGTTGTTCAACTGATTGATCTCATCCCAAAACAGTGGTATGAATTGACACACCAACATGCAAATCACCCAAATTGCCTCCCTTCATTTGTTGGATAATTTTTAGTGAGTTGGCAACACAACTTAATCATAGAGTTATTCCACTTGTTTCTTCTTAAAGGTGAGTTGCTTAACTCTCCTCACTCTCGGGCTGGTCTCTTCTTCAAGGCTCTTTGCTGCCTTGGGTTTCTTCACGCTCTTGATTTGGCTCCCTTCAACCGGCCTTCTTGCACCTCCGGGCTTCTTCTCGCCCTCGGGTTGGCTATCAACCTCTGGTTGCTTCTTATTCTCGATATCCTTCTCAAGATGAAATCACAAAGCAAAAATCTTAAAGGCTTTTATCAACATTTCCTTGATAAGGGTGTCGTCTGCAGCTTTCTTTCCACTTGTCAGGAAATCACTCTTGAAATATACCAAATGGGAGACACACTCTAAAGCAAATGTAGATAACAAAAGCACCAATGACACTCTATTTATAGAGGCCATGGGCACAGAAATCTAAGGAGTTCAATTACTAATGTACTGATTACGAAAAAAATGAATCTAATTATTACTTTAATTCTCTTATTCATATCGCAGTTATCACTTTCAAGAAGTAAGAAAATTTGAGAACTAAAATATGAGGTCGATATAACAAAGGTTGTCAGAGAGACATAAGAGTACAACTAGGGATAACCCACAAAAGGAAGACCAATGATTGCATCATCAAAAGATCAAAAGACTTGATTGACCAAGTACAACTCCTTTGGTCAGGATCTGAAGCCGGCATAACGAAGGCTGTCAGAGCCAAAGACCGATATCTATCGAGCTGAGAAGGCATTAACCCAACTATCAACCCAACATCACCAGCTGCCCCATAAAGTGTCTCTGGGATTCTTTACAAAGAGGCCGAAAGTTCTCATCACGATATAATTCGTGAACACCCCAGAGGAATCTTCTATCAATGGGTGAGCTACATATCAGATTAAGGTGATTCACTATATTCCCGAAAGCCTAGTCTCATCTTGGCGATAAGAGCCCCTCAACTATGGGGCAATAATCAGACCAGTGCAGACTATCGGTTGACTTAAGCCGATCGAGCAAAGTCCGGACGATCAAATATTAACCAGGGCCAATCAATAGATCGAACTCAACATAGTCGACCAAACGAGCCTTGTCGACTTAGGTATCGAAAATCTTAGCCGACCGAGCAAGAGGGTAGCCAAGCCATAGGTTTATTTATGTAAATGCCTAAAATACCCCGTAATGCCTTCGTTATAGCAGACATAACTTTGTAACTATGCAGCTGATACCCTGATCTCCTATAAAAGGGGGTCATTTCCACAATTAAGGCTAATCAATGAATTAATGAGATAATTAATATAAATTCTATCATTCTACTATTCATTACTATGCACTCTCTCTGAGCCTCTCTCATGTTTTACATTCTATTTATCCATAATGATTCACAAGACAGAGTTAGATTCAACATCATAATAATTATTTTGATAAAATTTAAGTTGATTTTAAATTAAGAGTTAAATTCAGGTAAATTTAAGTTAACATGCTATCAAAGACTAAACTGAACTCGGCCCAGAATGATAAAAATGTTGAATTTTTTTTTTTGACTGGCCCAGTGAAATTAGGGTCAAAATTGCATCAGGTAAAAATTTGACAGGCCAGTCGCTGTTATGCCGACACTATTGACAGTGCCGAAACACTTTACTCTCGTTAGCTGTCGTTGAAGATAGATAAAGACACTGTTTGTGTGAGAGCCTGAGAAAGAGCCGAAGAAGAATTAAGAATTTGTTTGGTTATAAAGAGAGAGAGAGAGAGAGATAATGCAGATCTCTATCCCCTTTTTTTAATGATAGTGCAGTCTTTGCTTTGCTTTTTGTCGTGGTTGCTTGAGTTCATTTCATTTGAGGGAAGCCATGAAATCCAAAATGGAAGAACTTCGTGTTGTGGGTTAGGGTTCCCTTCGTTATCCCAGCGGAGAATTGCCGAATAAGGTAAGGAATCGACTTCATTTTCCTATGCTTGCTCTACATTTTCAATTATTACTCTCTCTCTCTCTCTCTCTCTTTGTGTGTATCTTTCTTGTGATCTTCTCTTCTTGTTCATTATCCACCGCGTTACCTATTTTCCCTTCTTAGTTACCATTAAAATCTTAGAAGTGGGTTCTTCAGAGCTGTTGAGAGTCAGATTTGCTCTTAATCTTGCTTCTGCTACCAGCCAGTCGGAATGCTTTCTTGCTCCTTTTCTTTTCGCCTTTTTTTGTTCGTAGAAGTAGCAATTTTCAGCGGATGTCTGTATATCTTAGAGGCATGGTTTTAAGAAAGGTCTTTGTTTTTAATTATCTATTTAGCCTAGTGCATTAGGATTCTGGTTTTTGTTGGTTGGATTTGTTTAGTATTTTAATTATGTCGTTGTATTTGGATTTAATCTTATGCCTGGTGACTGAAATTGTTGCTGCGGGAAATAAACATAGAGAGCGATACCTGGTTGGTAGCTGTTAGTTTTATTTCAATGAAATAAGTTGGGTTGAATACTGAGCTGTAAAAATCACAGTTTTTAGCGTACTGCTAATGAACTTCAATCCCGTTGAATAAAAACTCTGGGACTAAAGTAGTTTTAACATTTTAACATGTACAGTTGAATACTTTTGCTTTGTTTGGATGTTCTGAAGTTAGAGAATCCTAATGCATAAGATAGAAATGGATAGAATCTACATCCATATTTAGAAGTTATTTGATAGCAGATACTCACTAGATAGCTGGGCTGGACAACATCTACACACTAGCCATTTCATGATAATTTAGTCTCCTTTTTTCTTGTTTCAGAGATATTCTGGTTTGTCGAAGTTGAAATTTCTCCTTTCTATTTCCACCACTGAATTCACGTGTAATTACATATCTAACACCTAAATTTCAATTTTTACATATATGCTACCTTGTCTATGCATGAGAAGGTGTATTTTACTTTTTAAAAGATAAGATAGTGGTATTTTTGATCCAATATAAAAGATTTGGGGGGTATAAATGTAAAGGGTAAATTTTAGGTGTTGGTTATGTAAATGCATAGGATTTGGGTGGTATTTATGTCATTGCCCCATTAATTATGATGTTTGCTTACCTTGTATCTTTCTTCTATGGCTTACACTTTTGCTTATTTGCAGGTCTGGTGGATCTTTCTCTAGCTGAAAAGCTGTTATGGCTACACTTCTTGACATTGGTGTTTCAGCAGCTATAAACATATTGTCTGCATTTGCGTTCCTGCTGGCATTTGCAATACTGAGACTGCAGCCATTTAATGACAGGGTTTACTTCCCTAAATGGTATCTTAAAGGACTTAGAAGCAGTCCTTCAAGTAAAGGTGCATTTGTCCGGAAGTTTGTCAATCTTGACTACACATCATATCTGAGGATTTTTGCTTGGATCCCTGCTGCCCTCAAAATGCCTGAACCCGAGCTGATTGAACATGCGGGATTAGATTCTGCTGTTTATTTACGGATTTACCTTTTGGGGTATTCCTCTTTTTGATCTTCTAATTGCTTGTTTGTTTATGAAATTGCTTCATAAATTTGTTGTTAGTCTTACTGGATGCTTCCTTGATGTGCAATACTTTTCATAAGATAAATTTTATGCATATTGTACATAGTTAGATTGATGCTTTACTGTTTGTTTATATTATATGCTTTTCTATGAAAGTTTCAATGCAATGTATCTCTCTTGTTTACCTTTTTTTACCCACTAATTTAATGATTGAATGCGAGTCATATAGACCTTCAATATAACTTTCATGTTGATTTGTTTTTTATCCAACAATGACTGAATATGCCATAGTTTGATATGTTTGCGGTTTGCTTATGCAAGCTGCCATAATATAATATATTATATGTTTTTATTTAGTCATTTTGACACCTTTCTAGTTTTTATTCATTACTTATAAATGATTTTTTCAATAACAATATTTTTATTTTACATGTTAACATGATTTTCTTAAACTGAAAAGTTGGACAGGACCTCTCTCATTAAAATAGAGGAGAAGTTACACAACAATGCTTATTAAAATAAAAGAAATTGCACAAAGAAACAACAAAACAAGAGTTCTCACATTAAACAGTAGCCAAAGAACGTCAATTGATTTGTCAGGAAGATGGAGATCAAAAAGTCATACAGGGGTGGTGGTAGTTTTTTCACTGGCTGTGTAAAGATTCAGAAAATATATAAGGGAGAAAATATCAAATCAAATCCTCTTCCCATCTTTAGTAATGTTAGAGAAAAATCTAGCATTTTATTCTTTCTAAATAACCCATAGAGAGGTAAGGAACTAAATATCATAGATATCTTTGAAATTATTTTTTGACGAGTATCCCACCAAGATGGAAAAAGCTGATGCAACCCACAGCTTTTTAAATGCCAAAACATTGCTAAAGCTTCTTTTCCTACCTTGCCAATTGTCTAGCAATTTTATAAAATTTGAAAGATAACTTTTACATATAAAACAAGTCATATATTGAGCAAGTCCCCAATTATGGAGGATTTTGCAGGGCAATTTCTTCCAAGACAATGCCCACACAAGAATAGAAATTTCAGAAGGTGCAAAAGGATTCCACTTCGAATCAGCTTTACCTTTTCTAACCTAACAAAAGAAAGATTGATAGTATAGTTCTGTCATGGGAGATTTGTCGAAAAGAAGTATCCCCAGTTGCACATTAATATAAGCATTTCTGATGATATCATCAAAGCATGATATATTTTTTGAGAAATCTCAACTTCCTTGCCAACCTTTTAATTCCATCTCCATGCACTTTATAACATCAGAAGCTAGCTTCAAGAAACCAAATCTCTAAAATTGAAAGATGGAATGCTTGTTGAAGTATGTGTCATTAGAATTGAAGGTAACTAGACAGTGATCTAAGAACAATTTGGCAAGAGGAATTTTACCAAAATTGCAAAATTGGTCCTCATAGAAAGAAGGAATTGATCAAGGTTAGCAAAGCTTTTTCATTAATTTTCTTATTATAGCTAACGGACTTCATATCCACAAGATTGAAATAATTTATGATTTCAAAAAAAATCAGATGGGGGTCTTGGAGCTATCAAGGGATTGTTCTTCATGAGAAATATTATCAGTAAAATTTTCACAATTGATCCATTTAGAAGTCTTAAAATCTGCAATAGCTGATTATTCATTCTAAGAAAAAAAACTTCTCATTTTCATCTGAAGTCTCATAGATCATCGTTAAAATGCATCATAGTTTCATTTTGAAGCTGCTGAAAGTGAATAGAAATAGAGAAATTTTTGGTGAAAGAAGAAAGCGCATCTTCAGTATTAGGGTCCCATGTCCTAAGACAAATTGACCTTTAGAATTGGGAACTTTCCTATATTTAATCTTACTGCCACCCATAGATTCCAATGCAATAGAAGAGGGGTCAATTTGATCTTTAGAATTCAGAACTACCCAATCTTTAATCTTAGTGCCGCCCATAGATTCCAATGCAATAGAAGAGGGATCAATGAGTTTAGATTCTTGAAGATAAATAATATCAAGCTTTTTTGAAAAAAGATTCTTTCCTTAACCGTCGTTTATAATAGAAGAAGCTAATCCTATATCAGTCCATGATTCAATCTTCATGATACAAAGAACTAAAGTTTTGGGTATTAACATGACCCGAAGTGGGCATGAAAGAAATGATGTTCATCCTCTTGCTGTTTGGAGACCATTTGAGAGGAATCAAACAAAGTTGAAAAGTTTGAAGAAGTTAACTTAGAAGGATTTTTTTCGTAAGCTTCAAGCTGTTTGGGAATCACATTCTCTTTAGAAGTAAAAATGAAAGATCTCCAGTAATGAGAGAGCCCAAAAGTTCGGATATATAACCTTTGATTTCACTCATTCTCAAAGAATAAATTTTAGCTCCACAAAGTAGGAAAAAGCTCCCAGACTTTATTATTAATGTTTATTTTATTTATTTCCATAGATATATTAAGAAATTTAGCATATTTGAGGAGAGAATCATGTTTCTTTTTGAAACCAACCTTATATAAATACTTACTAAAATCTTCATCCCAATCATGATGGAAGTAGTGATGTAAATTGGAAACAACAAATACGTGAAGATCTGATACATTCCAGAAATTTCAAGGGCAATTGCAACACCTTGACAGTCAAAAGGTGACGAGAGGGAAGGATTATTAATTTGTAAATTAGTCTCTTTAATAAAAAGAAAAGTAACATATTTTTAATTTGAAAATTTTTCTCTTTAAAAAAAAAAAAAAAAAAAAAAAAAAAAAAAAGACTCTCTGCGTAGAAATTAAATAACTCTACCAGTTGTAATATCTTCAAAACGTTCCAAAAGAATAGCTAGAGGTTTCAAATTTGAATTTAGATCAAATGCATAAGAATTACTAGGAAAAAAAGGTTCTCTCATAAATGCAAAATTTAAAGGTTTTTTACAAAGATAGTTTCCTCTTCAACCTCCAAACCTGTACGAGCTGCATATTTGGCATGAACAATGGAAGAATTCTAAATGCAATCTGAGCTAAAGGTATTAGATGAACCGTTGAATACAACGATCTTTGCAAAAAAACTCCACCAGTTGTAATATCTTCACCATTGAATACAATATGCCCTGCTCCACTAGTTGTAACTTCTTCAAAACGTTCCAAAAGAATATCTAGAGGTTTCAAATTTGAATTTAGATCTAGTACATAAGAATTACTATGAAAAAAGGTTCTATCATAAGAATTTAAAGGTTTTTTACAAAGATAGTTTCTTCTTAAACTTCGAATGTGTAAGAGCCGCTGATTTGGCATGAACAATAGAAGAATTCAAAATGCAATATGAGCTAAAGGTCTTAGATAAACCATTAAATACAATGATCTTTGCAGACCTTGCCATTCCCTGCAAAATTCGGTGTAAATTAAAAGATCATGAAAGAGATTATTGACAACATTGATAGCGAGAGATTGATACCCGAGTTCACCCAATCCACCACATAAAAAACAAATATTTTTACTAAAAATAAATAGACAGTTACAACCCAATACAATCGAAAGGGAAATTACAATAAACACGACACACCAATATGCTGCAATAGGAAATAATAACAAAAGACAACACAAACTCAAATTACGGTGGATCTCAGGGTAGTGGTGGTGGTGATCGACAAGGAGTCGGAAGGTGGCGAAATGGTGGATGAGCTGGTCAACCAACCGAAAATAGCAAGGTAGAGGTTTCTTGGGTTCCGAACAACAAGCATACATCGGCTAATGATGTGGAACAACTGTTTTGGATGATGGAATCAAGTTGGAAGGAGGTAAGGCGTAGGTTTTGTTGGCGGCGGTGTGTGGGAAGGTAAAGAACAGTGACTTAGGAGGCTGAGAAAGGCATGGACAGTTAACTGTAGGGCTGCAGATGGGGCGGTCCTGGTGGCTGGAATAGCAGGAAAACAACCAAGAATAGTTGTGCTGGGGTGCGACAGTGAACGGGAATGGCAGTTTCAACGCTTGAGAATGCGTGGGATTGCCAGACAACAAAGGGAGGGCTATTTCGGTGCTGTGACAGCGAGGGGAATGATTGGACAATGAAGACGGGTAGCTGGGTTGAATGACAACAAGGTGGTAGGTGACTGGAAGGGATGACGTTAGGTGGATGTGTGGCTAGTGGCTGGAGTTGTAAGAAGACAGTCAGAATGCTGTTCGGTAGTTTTGACATCGAGAGAAGGCTGCAACGACAGTGAGGGGAAAAGTCTGAGATAAATACCCCCACGAGAAGGAGCTATTGTCGAAGCACCATTCGATCCCTTTGAAGGGGATCACCACCTCGAAAGAGCTACAATTGGAGCACTATCCGCCTTTGGATACAACCTATGTAGGGAGAATGATGCTGATGGCTGTCTCGACAGAAAACATACGCCGAAACTGCAAACCTCAAACAAATAAATCATATAAATAAGCCCAAACTACTAATGCTTGGACCCCCCATGAAAATGGGGCACCAAACCAATGTGTAAAAGTCAGTCGACCTTCCCAAGTCTGGTTTGGTTCAGTCTACACGAATGAATCACAGAATTGGCTCTTGTTGCTCTTTACGCCCACCTTACGGTAACGACAAGGCTTGAAGCTTCCATGTCGGTCTCCCGGGTTTGGGGGAGCTTTAACCTCATCTTTTGAAGCTTCTGCTCCTCATAATAAGTCAAGTCGGCCCCGTTGAAGATAGCGACAATGTTGCAAGCTCCCAGTAAGTCAATATTGTAGCCATTGTCATTTCAGAACACATCCTGATAAAATAAATATCTATCTACTTTTTGGCATAGCTTGTGCTGGAGCTAGATAACGACGTAGATTATCACGAGCCAAATCCTGAGCAAGTAAATCTATAGTCTGCTTCTCCCACTCCTTTTACTCTGTTGGATGTGCTTGATAAACAAATTTATCAGGAGGAATCAACTCTGGGATGAAATCTGTGACAAGGTGGGCCATACAGAAGGGTAACCAATCAGGAGAGTACTCTTCTTAATCTTCTTTGGAAGGACCTAAATCCCACAATAGGATGTTCCTTCCTGCAAAGCTTCTAAATCAATTTCAATACTGTGGTTCATTCATCCTATTCGATCAGTAGTTGGTGGGTATGTTGTGGAAGTGAATTTAATATCTAACAAATCTCTATGGGCTCCTAGAAGTGGTACAAAAGAGTCTCATCTCAAACACAAAGCCTCCTTAAACAGGGGAAACTCAAGCAGTAGCCTATATATTTGAAAAGTTCTGAATATGCTTTATCTGGGTTTGCCCTATGTTGAATATTGACTTCTTAAACTCTTGGCCCTTTGGCATCCAATGTCTATCCTGCTGATGTTCCTTTCAATGCCTGCAAAGTGTTAGCTCGAGATACCACAATCTTATACTTTGCATGAATGCTCATTACCTTGGGCTCACTACTTTTTAGAATATCTACTATCATCTCAACTGGAGTCTCTCTCGTGGTTCAATTGGAATCACTGACGGCTCGTTATGCCTATTAGGGGACTGGTTCCGCCTGGGCCGGTCGAGATCCCCCCAACCGGCCAGCCACAACAACAGGCAGACCGATCTGTCGCGCCTGAGGGGAGGAGGAACAAGTTATGGAGATTGTGGGGTCCACAAGGGATTTAATCACATACTCAAGGAGGAGAAATTAAAGTTGGGAGGGAAAATTGGAATGTTATGGGAGGATCATATTAAGGGGAACCTAAGCTTTATTCTTTTTTATGCATTTTTTGTTGGCTGCTGGTTTTTCTTCTTTTGGTGGTGTTCGTAGTGACGTCTACGGTTGTGGGAGAGCCGATTTACTACTCAAAAAACAGATCAACCTTGTATCTTGCTTGTTTTCTTTTGTGTTTCGTAAGAGCTACCCTTATTTGAATTATTTTCACCAATTTATTGCTTTTTCGTTGTAGTTGCTTGCTAATTTTGGTCTAGGAGCATATCACGTCTCTTCCTCATTGGATGGAAGTTGAGAATTCTCTTTAAAATTTTCATCTCTTAGATCACTGTTTATTTCTTCAACTGCTCCCTGATCCATTAGAGCGATCATTCTCTTGCTTGTACAATCAGATTCAATATGCCCAAATCCACGACACTTGAAATACTTCCTGATTGGGACAAATTTAAGAATGCGGATTAGTTCTACTTGTTTTCCACACCGAATTAGTGTTTCCTCAGACGGGGTTGGCTTGGATGTTCCCCCCGAGTGTATTATTGCTGTAAGATCCTGGGATCGAACTCTGCTTGTAAGATGTGATGATCATCCAGTAATGCCGTCTTTTCGCTTTTAAAACTAGGGCTTGCACATCCTATTCATAATGAACTGGTAGGTATAGGCGCTTCATCTTTTATTTCATATGGGACAAAGTAATGATGTTATATTTTCCCTTAAACAATGAACTCTTATTTAACTTGCTGGCGGTTATTTTCACCATTCCGTATGGTTGGACATGCTGGTATTTAAAGAAAAATTTTTACAGTCTGGAGCCACTCATTAAACTTGTCTGGATCCAAGTGACTTTCAAAATACGGTCAATCCATATTTATTTCAAAAACTTGGCTTCTCAGATATTTCAGGTTAAATCTTTGGAGTAGAAGTTCTTCATTCTTGACATCCGTATGGTGGAAGAGATCTATTCTATTTCTTCGATCTGGTAAGTCACCTTTTTAGCTACGACTGATTCTTTCGAGCTACCTCCTCTCAGAGGCGGCAAACTTCCATTACAGCTGGAGAATTTTCTACCGCACATCCTCCATAGAAGGCTCCTAGGCATCTTTGCGGATTCTCGTAAACAACATTGTGGCTTTTTCTCTCATTTAAGTCTATGAGAATTGTCTCTTTAATAACATGGTTAGAATTTTTGTGTAGTTAGATGGAAGAGGGTATATATGGATCATGTAGGTTGGAGAAAAAAAAATTTAAGTGGCTGGTCCGAATAATCAACCAAGAGAAGGAATTTTATGTGGAGATGGGATTGGGTATTGGCCCAACAAGTGCTAGAAGCCCAATGATAAGAGGGCTAGGCTAGTTCTGATACCAAATGATGATACCAGAGTTAATCCGAACTATTATAGGAAAATCAACTATTATTCATAAAAGTAAATAGTCGGTTAAAACCAAACACACTTGAAAGGGAAATTATAATAAAAACAATGCAATGATACATTGAAATAGGAAATAACAGCAAATGACAACACAAACTCAAATTAGGGTGGATCTCAGGGTGGTAATTGGCGAGGGGTTGGAAGGTGGTGAGATGGACTTGCTGGTCGGGCAATGGAAAATAACAAGGTAGTTGTTTCTTAGGTTCCTGACAACAAGCTGACAAAGGATAATGGCGTGGAAAAATTGTTCTAGATGATGAGAACAAGTGGGAAGGAGGTAGGGTGTAGGCGTGTGGGAAGGTTAGGAATGGTGGCTGGGGAGGCCAGGAAAGTCAAGGCAATGGTAGGGTTGCGGTCCTAGTGGTCGGAATAGCCGGAAAACATCCATGAACTATTCTCACATTTGGGGGAGGGGGGGGGAGGAGGAAAATAACAGAATGCTGTCCAGTGGTTCCGATGGCGAGAAAAGGCGACAGTGACAGTGAGGAAGGAATGCGGAGGATGGAAAAGTCAGAGATAAGTACCACTCGAGAATGAGTTACAGTCAGAGCACCGCTCAATCTCTTGGAAGATATCACTATCTCTGAGGAGCTACAGTCGGAGCACCACCTGCTTTTGGATACAACTCTTAGAAGGGAGAAGGAGGATGTTGATGGCTGTCATGACAATAGCCGTATGCCAAAATTGCAAACCTCAAACTAAAGAATGACATAAATAAGCATAGATACTTAGGATTGGATCCCTATATGGAAAGGATGTGCCAAACTAACGCGAGAGAGCTTGTCCGCCCTCCCAGGTTTTGGGCTAGTTCGGTTTAGATGAAGGGATCACGGGCTTGCCTCCCGCGGCTCTTTATGCCCACGTCATTGTAGCGGTAAGCTGTGAAGCTCCCAAGTCAGAGATTAATCATGGCTTTTTGGATGAATAGTAAAATTTCTGATAATATCGTAATGTCATCAACTAGTATAAGCACTTTGTCCTCCAGTAAAGAATCTTTAAAAATAGAATGCTTAATGCTTATCCATAAAATAAAGTTTTAGCAGCATCCCAATTCCAATAACAAAAGTTAAAGCATAAATTTCAATCCAAGTAAAAGCATCTTATTAATTGTAGAGGCTCCGTTATTCTCACTCCATTTATTCACTTTGACTGAAAATCAAAAACTCGTGCATTTTCTAACATGAGAATCTAGTATTTTCCTGTCCTTTTTAGTGAAAAAGGACACCCGCTTAATGATTGAGATGATGCAGAGCCAGTCTCTATTCCAATGCCAATTAAGAACTTTCAATAGTCATTCTTTCCTGATTCTATGTTCGAGGATTTGCATATGAATTATTGTTTGATCCTTTTTAAAGAAGAGAAGACTCTTCTTAGTAATATGTCCTTTTTTTTTTGCATCTAAAACAAATGCTGCTTTTTCTATAATCACTTGCAGAATGTACCTTGTCCAAATAATTTGAAACAGTTAAGTATGGTTTTGTGCAATAATAGCAGAAGATTTGCCTAAAAAATAATTACCACTGAAATCTTTCAAAACTCTAAGCTTAGCCCCCACCCCCTGGCTCCCCAAATTGCTGCGTTCTAATATCGTTAAATCATTAAAGGCTCTTTCAAGCACAAACAATTGAAATCAATTAAAATGATCTTTAAAGTTGCAATTACTATTTTGTTTTTAAAACAATCTAATTAAAGCTGCAATTACAATTCTGTTTTTAGAACAATCTAACAGTCTTAAAGTAATTAAGTTTTCATTGCTGTTCTCTTGTTGTTTTCTTACATAACAGGCTTAAAATATTTGTTCCTATTGCTTTCTTGGGATTTGCAATTTTGGTACCTGTGAACTACACAAATGATACTCTTGAGACGATGAAGGTGGAGTACAGCGATATAGACAAGCTTTCTATATCAAATATTCCTAATAGATCCGACAGGTTAGTAATCTTTATATTGAATGACATGATTAGGTTTGTGAAAGCTATTTTTACATTTTAGATGTCATGCTCATTTGAATCGTTTGTACAGTTATACATATTGTTAAATTTTGAGCTTACTTCTCTGCTTAATTTAATTTTTAAATTTAAGTTGTTTAAACTATTCTAGATTAATAACCTTTTTGACTCTTTCTAAATACATCGAAGAATTATTTGAAGTAGTTCCTAAAATCATGCAATGAATTTTTACTTTTTTTGCAATACCCACTGTCTGAAACATGTATTTAATCTTCATAAAATCTTTGTGACCGATGATATTAAAACATCTTAAATCATCGTCTTCATTGATCTACGGTGAAGCTTCATTGCCACTGTTGGTCTTCATTGTGATAGGGATGGCAGTAGTTCACTGTTAGAGGGAAGGAAGGTGGACTCGACTAAAGAAGAGGTCAGAACTAGCATGTCTACTGGAAGTTAGGCAATGTTTGGTGGCTTTATTTGACAAGAGGAGTTTCCGTTTTTTGAGAAAAAAAATATATTATATTGTCTTGTTGTAACGGTGGCTGATACAATTTAATTGAAGTGGGCTTAATATTAAGTTCGGTGGGTTCTTAGATTTTTTTTTTTCCTTTTTTTTTGAATGAGTTTGAGTGCATTGGTTGACTTTAGATTGAAAAAGATTGAAATTATTTAGTGCTGATATTATACTGTGCATTCTTTCATCATCCATGACTTCATCTGTCTAATTTAGCCATGGATGCATGTTTGATTTAAGCTTAACTAGGCAAATTGCAGTGTCATCATGCCTGTTTTTTCTTCATCTTTTGACACTTGTTCCAACACTATCGTATCAAAGCATATTTTTAGATCGATGACACCATAAAGTTTGATTTGAGGAATTGAATGGGTCAAAGAATTGTGATCTTTGAAAAGCTAAGATGCGGGGAGTTCTTTCAATTAAGTATAGTAAAAGCACTCATAGGATATCCATGATGTCTGAGATTATTATTTGAAATTATAATAGCTTAAACTTATTTAGGTTAAAAATAGTTTTTGACGAAGGTCCGTTAACATTAGGTTCTTTGATGCAACTAATGTTATGTATAGTGTGAATATATTCAAAGAAATTTAATGATTCATAGATCACAGGCCATCGATTAATTTAAATAAATTATTTTAATCAAGAGGCTATTTGGTTTGCTACAAAAGAGGGTACTGCATTCCAAATGTATGTGTTTTGAAATTTTGGGTGTTCAGTCTGCGAAAAGAGGAATGCATTGTAAAATTGTAATATATTTCAAATGCAGCATTTAGTTAGTTTTCAGTGTATTTCAAATTCGCTAGATTTGGTTAATTTTCAAATATATATCAACTGCAGTTTGCAGCTGTGCCTTAGAAGATGCCAACAGCGGTTGTCGTGGGCCAACAACCACTGCAGCCACCGCGATTGTCTCTTGCACCATTTCCACTGCAACTTTCAACTATCACTGTTTGCCAACCGTCCATCGTTGCCACAGGTTGCCGACCACAGCCCTTGTTGCAACCATCAGTCCCGTCTATCGATGCTTACCATCGCTAGCTGGCTACCAGCTGCCAATCGTTGTCGATTGCCCGCACACCTTCATCATCCACTACTGTCCTCTGTCAGCGTCACCAACACTAGTCAGTGCTGGTCGCCGTTGGTTGACCACACCTGCGATTGCCACCTGCGATTGCTATCTTTGTTGATCATCACCCTCTGCCTCAACCGACTACCACAAGCTGGTCATCCGCTTTGGCTGTTGCTCAAGGATTGTACACTGCAATCATTTTTCAGTGTACTTACCCAAACACAATTAAAAATTCATGCATTTGTAGTGTAGTCATCCAAATAATAATATTTATTTTTCAACACACTACATCTACTTTTACACTGAATGCAATTTTCATCAAACCAAACAACTCCTAAATCTAAATGTGTAATGCTCGAGTTGCAGCTCAACTGATATCAAAATGATCGAAATAGTCCTATAAAATCAACAAAGATTTTGAACCATTTAAAGTTAATGAGCAATCATAATTTAATTACTACAATTTGAATTTTTTATGGGCTAAATTTGAGCAAGATAAATAAAACCAATCAAGCCTATAGAAAATTATTTTGAATAAGAACAAGGAATGAAAGTAAAACTTGTTTTCTTTAAATGTAAAAATGCAATAGTAGAATCAAAACTCAACAAACAACTAGACCAGAATAATAAGAGAAAATTTGTGAAAATTTACTATATACAATCAACAAGCAATCACAATTTAGTTTCCATAAATCACAACTTCAATGTATCCAATTTGAATAAAATAAATGGTACTAATAAATCGAATACTAAATTATGTTGATGAAATATGAATAAGGAATTAAAGTTCCAAAAATACAAAAAAATTAAGCTTTACACTATTTTAAGTAGATAATCAACAACAACAACAACAACTATAAGCCTTCATCCTGCTAAGTGGGGTCGTCTATATGAATCATTTGTCTCCATTGTATCCTATTGAGCGTCATATTTTTTTTAATTCCAATAAATTAAGTCCATTTTTTATACAACTGTTTTCGTTCGTTTTTCTCTCTTTTATTTCAGGAATCGCCAGCTTGTCGATCATCGTATACTTCCCTTTTTAAGGAGTCGCCAGCTTATCGATCATCGTATACTTCCCTTTTTCGAATAAATCACTTTTCCGAGTCATATGAATGACCAGGAGAAGGGAGGAACCGAAAAGGAGGGACATACAATAAAACGACAAACAAGAGAAAACACAAAACTCGAAGAGCCTACGTGCGGTAAACATCGCAAGGTCATATGAATGACCAGGAGAAGGGAGGAACCGAAAGGAGGGACATACAATAAAACGACAAATAAGAGAAAACACAAAACTTGAAGAGCCTACGTGCGGTAAACATCGCAAGGATTAGTTAAGAGTGTCCGCCCAAACAAGATCGGGCGATAGCACCTTAAACCGATATCCGCAAAAAAATACGTAGACTACCCATAACCAGAGATTCAGGTGTAGGTGCTTGATCTGTGATCAAGAGCACTCCCAAGGGGACGTATCCCACTTGGTTAATTATATCTTGGTGGTACTGGGACGTATCCCACTTGGTTAATTATATCTTGGGGGTACTCAAGAATACTTTCGATAAAAGGAATTTCGCTTGGATTATCGTGAACGTGGGGCAATAGGTACTTAAAGGAAGGTTATTCCGTGTGAGAACATTCCCGATGCTTCGAAGCTTGCGCTAAGCCATCGGGCAGAGAGTGAGTCTCTCACATCCCGAATGGATAGCGGCTCATCAGCATACAGAGCCCACGAAATAACCTAAATCATATTGACGGAGAGATCCCAACACGTCAAAGCATGTCCAAGCCATAAAGGCAGATGACAAATCGTCGTATCCCAAATGGGCGACAGCTCATCGGCATTAGGTTGTCAAAATGATATCAATGAAGTGAAGGAGCGACAAGGCTCAAAGGGGCTCAACAAAAGGAAGGTAGAGTGATCCTAAAAAGGTAGAGATAATTGGTTCGGGGTATCACAGACCCGTCATACACAGCTACTAGGACCCTAAGTCTACCTGGTTGTGAAAGTAGTCGATTTAACACGCCCTGAGATCCCCGGTCAGCAATCCGTGAATTGCGTCGTCCACGGGAACCTCGACTGTCCTAAGGTCAAAATAAGGAAACTCTATCCAATGACTAAAGCTGGAGCTCCAAGAGGTGAGACTTATACCTGCCGAAGTGACAATGATGCCTCAGGAAAGAAGAGAAGCGGAGGTTCAACTACAAAGCTGGAAACACTCCAAACAAAAGACACACCCCATCTGGGTTGGGGAGCCTTCTAATACCCTAGGCGTATTAGAGAACCACACAGCTACTAGGACCCTAAGTCTACCTGGTTGTGAAAGTAGTCGATTTAACACGCCCTGAGATCCCCGGTCAGCAATCCGTGAATTGCGTCGTCCACGGGAACCTCGACTGTCCTAAGGTCAAAATAAGGAAACTCTATCCAATGACTAAAGCTGGAGCTCCAAGAGGTGAGACTTATACCTGCCGAAGTGACAATGATGCCTCAGGAAAGAAGAGAAGCGGAGGTTCAACTACAAAGCTGGAAACATTCCAAACAAAAGACACACCCCATCTGGGTTGGGGAGCCTTCTAATACCCTAGGCGTATTAGAGAACCACCTATAAAGAAGCATGCTAGGCCAGTCAGGTTGGAGCACGGGGACTCATCGGGACATGCAAATATGATGCAGCTATCTAGAGCGGTCCTTAAATATTGTCGAGGCCCTATTAATATATGCAGGAAAGTAAATGTTGCAATTTTTAAACCCTGAATATTTTAATCCTAAATTTTAAATAACTTGAATATGTTATTTAGAATTTTGTAGAAAATTACAATTTTAGGGTCCTTAATGAGCCTAAATTATATCGTGAAATCCCAGATAAACCACATAAATAAACAAGGAAAACACATGCAAATGCAGACATGCAATATGATGAAAAAAGAAAAAATAAGCCAAATCAAAATAATAAACATGCCGGTGTCGCTGGACCGACAACATATCCCAGAAAAGAAAAAAAAGGTGGTCGGACTTCGCATAAACATGCCCGGTCCTAATTCTATACATCAATATACAATGCAGAATTAAGATACGGGGCACGAGCATCTGCTACTGGTCCCCTCCACGTGGTTCCCACGCCAAACTCTTCGGAACCGGTGCCCGTATCTTATTTTTGCTACAGGATTCTCCTAGACTCTAAAAGTATATAGGAAAAAGAAAGACTCAATCCTGCATGAAAACAAGTGTCAGCGGGAAAACTCACATGCAAATAACATATATATGTTTTAAAAGTGGGAGAGCTAATAACACCTATAAACAAAAAGAGTTAGAAATCATTACTTGCTCCCCCTGTAGCGGTACCTGTGTGTGTGCATATAAATAAACATGATTTACTGCAAAAAAAA